CAGGTGGCTTGGTGGTTAAGGCGTTGAATTCCTCCTTGACTGACTCGCGGTTCGAGTATGGACTCCGAGGCTTGAAAACCATGCGAGGTGGGACCAGCTGATGGTGTAGTGGTTATGTTGTTGGACTCCCGCGTAGTCTACCACAGCTCGAGTCCCGGATCTGGTGGCTTAAAACTCACGCCGGGCATGAGTATGTGCGTGCCCAAGATCCCAAGAGGAGAATGGAGGAGAAGGGATTGCGGTATTGCCATACTCGCTGAAGGGGGGGCTGATTTCTCACTTTCTGTCTCTCTGTCTCTGTCTTTCCAGTGAACGCACGTGTGCCCTATAGCAAAAATCTCTCCAAAAACAAACAAAAAACAAAAAACAAAACAAAACAAAACAACAACAAAACACGAAAAAGGAAACCATGCGGGGAGTTGGTGGGTGCATCCCAACTCCTCAGAGGATAATTTCCCTCTAGCAAAAATCTAAAAAATTAAATTACATTAAATTAAAAAATAAGATTTAGTATACTATTAATTGCATTAGACAATTAGTATATGTAAAACAAAGAATGCTTGACACATATTAGATGATTGGCAATTTTAAAAAAAGATTTTTCCAGAAACACAGAGAGAGACAGAGAGACAGAAAGCGAGCAATCACCCCCCATGGGGATGGCCATGCTGCAATTTCTTCTCCTCCATTCTTGTCTTAAGATTTTTGGGCACACATGCACATGTGCCTGGCATGTTTTAAGCCACTAGGTACAGGACTCGAACCACCATTGACTACATGGGAGCCTAGTGACATAACCATTATTCCATCTGCTGGTCCCAATGCTCGGCATATTTTAAGGACTGTGTGTACTAAGTATTATTAACATTTTTAGGAGGAGTAGAGAGTACTAATATGTAATGTCTTTCAATGGAATAGGTTGTTAGGATGAGAATAGATGTAAGATCATTAAACTGAGTACATTGAATAGTAATTTGCATACCTCTAAAGGAGCAGATTAGATTTATGAATTGCCTTTTACTAGTTTTTCTCCATATAATTGGCTATACAATAAGGAAAAGATGTTTAAATTTCTATATAAAAAAGAAAAACCGTGGATTGACAGGTGGCATGGTGGTTAAGGCACCCACATGACTGACTGTGGTTCAAGTCCTAGACTTGGCAGCTTTCTTTCTCATTTCCCTCTCTCTTGTCAAATTAAATAAAAATAATAAAAAATAATTTAAAAAAAATTGGGCTAGCAGGTGGAGTGGTGGTGAAGGCACTGGATCCCACATGGCCAACTTCACGGTTTGAATCTTTTTTTTTTTTTGGAGAGGTTTTTGCTATAGGGCGCGTGCGCTCGCCAGCCAGCCAGACAGACAAAGAGAGACAGACAGAAAGCGAGAAATCACCCCCCCAGGGGGGATGGTCACGCTGCAATCCCTTCTCCTCCATTCTCCTCTTGGGATCCTGGGTACGCACGCACGCACATGTGCCCGGCGTGAGTTTTAAGCCACTGGGTCCGGGATGCGAAATATATCTTTTAAAACATTGTCTATATTCTGGGAACCAGCAGTTAGCGTAATGGCTATGTCGCTGGACTCCCACGTAGTCAACCGTGGTTTGCGTCCCGGACCCGGTGGCTTAAAACTCACGCTGGGCACGTGTGCGTGCGTGCCCAAGATCCCGAGAGGAGAATGGAGAAGAAGGGATTGCGGCATGACCATACCCCCCCCGGGGGGGGGGGGATTTCTCGCTTTCTGTCTCTAATGTCTCTCTCTGTCTGTCTGGCGAGCGCTCACGCCCTTATAGCAAAAATCTCTCAAAAAATTTTTTTCTATATTCTAAAAGAGTCAATGTTGTGGACTGGTAAAGTATAAGTACACTCTTAAATAATTAAGAAACATCTATCTCTAAAATATAAAGCACGCAGGTTATAAAATTGCAAAACAGACTTTTTATTTCTGGTTTTAGAAGCCGTTTTTGTTTTTTTGTTTTTTTTTTTTCCTTTAAACACATTACCCACATAAGCTTGTCCTGTCAATTTAGTGGAGGGAAATCCACAAATTCTAAAAACAACGCTTTCCGCAGGATTCGCGATAGTTTACTCTGTACCCATGAGCATGATTTAGAGAGTTATAGGAATAGACTTTGCTGGAGCCCGGCCACCTTAAGGTGGACCATATGGCCCTTCACAGGACTCTTCCGACCATAGAGCCACACAGCCACACGAGGGCAGCCTTTCTGAAAAGGCTCTCGGATTGCAATCCGGGTCTAATTTTGTTCCCCCAGGCTAGGACATCCCTGGGTTTAAGGACAGAACTATAAACACAGCTGAAAAACACTGCATTCCTTGGAATGCCGGGTGAGGAGATCTTCCCTAACAATGAGCCGCTCCACACCTGGACAGAAACCCAGAGAACCAAAGCGTTCTTGCTCTGCATATGTGGGCTCGCTGGAAACAGAGAGGGAGGGAGACAGGGATTGCCTTCAGCAATCTCGGGTGACCTACCATCACCTTCTCCACTTCCTGCACTCACTGTCACATTCTCAGGAATCACTCAGGGCAAAGCCTTGTGAGTTCACGGTGAAAGAATACGGCTGGGATGCTTCAGGGTGGAGACGGACTGATTAGTAATGGGAGTTAATCGCATAAAATCTGAAATGGACAGAGGCGTGTGTTTCTTGCTTTTTGTTCTCAAACCTGTTGCTGCTGCTAGTTTTTTTTCTGAGGAGGATCTTCCAACTGTTAGAACGAACATGTTAAATTATTTAAATCAGAGAGGCTCGATCTGTAGTATTTCCGCGGTTTCCAGGGTTGATCAGGTTGAGGGCTGGTTGTCAGAATCGAAAAGCCGAAGTGACCAAGTTCCTGTAAATCTTGTGTGAGGAAACGAAAAAGTTTAATTGTTGCACTGGAATTCAAAAGTTTAATTCCTCATTGGAAATTAACTCAAGAATGATTTGGGATCTTATAGACACTGTAAGAGGACATACGGAAACATATAAAAACATTTTCTTCCTGAGTGATATGAAAATTCCCATATAATAGGAAAATTTAAGTATCTAAATGTTCCTATTTTGATGAGCATCTTTACTCTTAAATGAAGGAAAAACACTGACATTTCTAATTATGTTCTACTTACTAAGGTATAACCAACTATTTCAACTTTTTCAGCTCTACAAATAATGATTTTTTTTTTGCCCAGGTCAAGTTTCAGATGTGACTCCAAGATGTTGGTAATACTACTAAGCTGTCATGGAGACATTGGAAAGTAACGATATCCAGAAACCCGGTACAATATTCATCATTCGTCATCTATAGAAAAGGGGCATTATTTATCAGAGAGAAGAAAGGAAAGGTGGAAGATAAGAAGGTTCGACAGGAAATTAGGACATTGCAGAAATGCAAAAAAGAAACATCACAAAACCTTTGCTTCCATTGCTCAGTGACTTCAACAACAAAATTTGATCCTGAAAAAGTGACCAGCAGTTAGCTTAATGGCTATGTCGCTGGACTCCCATGTAGTCGATCGCGGTTCGCGTCCCAGACCCGGTGGCTTAAACTCACACCGGGTGCGTGTGCCTGTGTGCCCAAGATCCTGAGAAGAGATTGCAGTGTGGCCATCCCCCCTGGGGGGTGATTTCTCGCTTTCTATCTCTCTGTCTGTCTGGTGAGCGCACGTGCCCCATAGCAAAAACTTCTTAAAAAAAAAAAAAAAAAAAGTGGCCTTGCTGGGCCAGCCAGGTGGCGTGGGGTCAAGCTGTCTGGATCTGGTATGACCAACAGCAAAATTCAAGTTCCAGATGCAGTAGCTTGAAAAACACGATGGGCGTCTACGTGCCCCAAATCCAGAGAACAAAGTGAGGAAGAAGAGATTGTGGTGTGGTCTTTGCCCCGGGCTTGATTTCTCCTTCCCTCTGTCCCTCCCTCTCTGTTTCCAGCGAGCCCACATGTGCAGTATTAAAATACCAAAAAAAAGGTTTTGTTGTTGGTAAACAATAGTTTCAGCTTGAAACAAATGAACAGAAGTTCTACTTTA